TTCAACTCATCATTCCTCATTAGACAACAAATATTGGTAATATATTCATAATAATAAAGACACTGCATACGATAATCAAATTTGTCAATTTAAAATTTTACTTCCATTTATTATACCCATAATATTATACTAACGATATTAATACTATATTTCTGCAACTATCAACATTGGCAAGGAATAATTTTAGTTGAAATTTGTTACCTGTGACCGATCTCGTCTTTCCATCCTTTGGAGGATTAGAGCCGCCAGTAATTGGTTTGGAACAGGAATGATAATATCTTCTCATTAATCTAATTTAACTTTTATTACCCTAAATTGTATAACTAACTAATTATAAAAATAATAAAAGTGACCCACTATTTATTTTACTATTATTTTCTTTAACCACCAGCTAAATAATTATTAAAACTATCCCACTAATTTCATAGTTATAATTAGAATAGTCCAAAATTTCCATTTAGAATCTTTGAAAATTATTTTATGAAATAAAAAGCTCTAATATTTAAAACGACCAAATGGGTCGTTACACTTATTTATAATGGGGAATGAATATGTTAGGGATGACATGTTTGTCATTAAAGTAAATGGTAAAGAGTTACATTTTGGGTTAAAAGAGTTTGTTGCTATAACTGGTTTGAAATGTGGACCTGTTTCTGATTTTATATCTGATCCACATGTTCCAAACAGACTCATTGCTGAAAATTTTGGAGATTTTAATAAAGTATCCAAGTCAGATTTTTATTACAAGTTTAAATTGCAAAATTTTTTGGAAGAAGATGACCGTCTAAAAATTGGGATCTTGTACTTTATTTCTTCATTTCTGACTGCATCAGACCCTTCAAAAACAACAATACCAAAATTGTATTTTGATTTGGTAGAGTCTGGACAGTATGCCACTTTCCCTTGGGCAAATGAGTGTTTTAATTTAACACTCAAAGCTTGTAATCAAAAATTCAAAAAAAATTCATCATCATTCAAATTCAGCCAGTTCCACATAGCACTGCAGATATGGTTTTATGAGTGTTGTCATCCATTTGACAACACAATTGTTATACGTGTTTCAAATCGCACACCGAGATTCCTAAATTGGAAGACACCGAATGACGTCATTTTTTTTGACGATTTGAAGAAAACAATTTTCAGAACGCATGGGAATCAGTTATTTTTCTTACAATGTTATTACATTCATTATAAATCATTATACATTATACATTTTTTTTTGATGCAGCATAAATTCAGAAATATTGTCTTCTCTGAAGAAGAGTTAAATCTAATGGACGAAACCATTTTAAATCAGTCCAGCAGCCACCATGATTCAGAAAATCCCAGATCATCGGAAAATCGTGCTGTTGATAGTGAACGTAAAGTTCAAGAATTGAGAGCTGATATTGCAGAGGTACAAGTAAAATATTCAAATAAACATAATTTTTTTTTAAAATTACATTACACATATCAAATACTTATTTTTTTAATTAACAGGTTAAGGCAGAGTTGAAAGAACTCAAAATCACTGTAAGTTCCAACATATTTTTATATAATTAATAGAATGACTTTATAAACTATTCATGTATAATTTTTTTTATGTTCACCGATAAGGTTCACAAGCACATGGCTGATATCAAGATGTATGTTGATAACTCCACCAAAATGATAATTGATGAGATTCGATTGTCAAGAGGAGAACAAATACCCGAAGAACAACCAGAGGTATATATATCTGTGTATACTTTATGTATGAATTTTGTTTGAAAAATATATAAATTCTGTTATTTTTATTTTCTGTTATTTGGGTATGAAATATTTAATATATAAATTTTGTGTAAATAAATAATGTATGAATTGTGTATGATTCACTGTATGAAATTACATATTTCTTCATATTACAATATCAATTGCTGAAACATGTATTTTTTATGTATGATTCACTGTATGAATTGTGTATGATTAACTGTATGAAATGTGTATGATCCACTGTATGAATTGTGTATGATTCATTATATTATCACTATATATATAAAATGTGTATGAATTGTGTATATATTTTTTTGTATCAAGTTTTTTTATACTGGTGAATAGTAATATCCATAATTAGTTATACTTTATGTTTTGATTTGTATATTTGATGTTGAATATATTGTGTATGAAAGAATGTTGTAAGTTTGTTTGAAATGTGTATGATTATATTGTATTATGTTTTGTATACTATCTGTATGAATTATGTATTTTTCAATATTATGTTGTAAGTTTATTAGAATTGTGTATGATTCACTGCATTAGTTTTGTATTACATGTGTATGAATACATGTTTCAGTAAAACGCCAACCATCATGCTGCACAATCTGATCCAACAAATATGCCTACAGAGACAATTGGACAACAAGTCCAAAGTTCAAACACAGCTGGTATGATATATTTATTTTTATCACATAAATGAAATTTTTAGAATTTTTTTTGTTTAACAATTTTTCATGTATATGAAGCTCAAAAGTCAACGGATAATTGTTTAAATGTTGATGCATCTATAACATCAAAATCAAAACCACCAATATTGGACGATTATCCCGATTTTACCATGACACAAATAATTTCCCTTGATCCGATTCTTAATGCCACCACAACTCCAAATGTGCGAACAAGACACAAGAATGTGGGTAAATACGATTCTTCTCCTTATATCAGAATGTCGGAAGGAGAAAGCAGTTCAAATAGAGTACCTACATTCTTTCAAATCAAACATCCATTCCATAATCACAATGGATTTTATGTACCAGATGAACTGATTGAGGATTTCAATAAATGGATTTTCAAAGATGTGTCGAGCAGGCGTGGCAGGTAATTTGTACGATGATAAAAATTATTTTATTTAATTTCTAAACTACTAAATTAATATAACACTTTTTTAAATATTTTCGGAAAAGCAACATATTCCAAGATTAAAACCACATTTCATCCTCAAATAGTCTTTGGTGTTGTCAAAACCGGAGAGAAGAATTTTTTTCACATAATGAGTCAACCGGGCAGACCTTGGGAGGACGGGGTAAGACCTTTTTTCAACTAATTATTATGGTTTTGAGTTGCAGTGATATATGTATGAATATTTTTTGTATGAAATATGTGTGAACAGTGAATGAATCAAATAGATATTTTTTTTTGTTAAAACAACATATTAATACAATAATGTATTATCTCCGAAAGAAGGCAAAATACTCCCAAACAGTCACTTCTTACAGTACTGTTGATTGTTGGTTTATGGCATGAGTTGATAACATTGAGAAACAGTGGAGACAATCAGAATGTGAAATGACATGCATATCACCGGACCATGATGTTGGACAATGCATTAGAGGATATAAGCTGCTTGCTAACATTCCGTGGGATAGGGTTGACGAAGTACTCATCCTAGTCAACATCAATGACAAATTCCATTGGTTTCTTGTTGTTTTTCGAATCAAAAGTAGATGTCTATATGTATATGATTCGATGATGGGAGGATCTGTTCATTCAAGGAAAGTCAAAGAAGCTGTTGATAAGCTTGCAACCATGATTCCTTTATTTCTGACGAGCACAGGGTTTTATAGCAAAAGGCTTGATTTGTATGCGAATAATCTCCCTGATTATCAACAGAAGTCTCACTCTGAACCTCTAAGTATCAAGAATGTTACACATGTTCCTCAACAAGAAGAAAGTTCAAAGTATGTATATTTCTTACTTTATTTTTTATTCATTTTAAATTGGAATTGCTATATATTCATTACAATTTTTTTTTCAATTTGTTTACAATGATTGTGGTTTATACACATCTCTATTTGCCGAATACATGAGCAATGGTGTTTTTGATATATCACATATTGATATTGATTCAACATATCATCGTCAAAGATATGCTACATTACTTTGGCATTATGGAAAATCAAAGAATGATGAAGGCGCAATCAGTGAAAGTGAAGTTACAGGAACAGTTGCTAGCAAGAAGGGTGGACCTCGAACTCATAAAGAACAAGTTATGGACACCACCAATAATCCTACTCCAAAATTCCGTATCAGGAAGTAGAAATTTTCATGGCACAATGTACATTTATTTGAATGACTTATTTTTTTTTAACTTATGAACAATTTATGTATTTTCCCAGTTTTTTTTATTATGACTACTCTGATGGTTTTATATAAATTATTACTGATTATTACTAAATGTGTCTCACTTTAACATATATGAATATGAATCATGTATGAAAATCATATGAATTATGAATGTCATATTAAAATTTGATATATAGTACATAGTAATGTTAAATTATTCCATAAATTTGTTTTGCATGAATACTATTCACTTTCAAATACAAACAGAAACATATATTAATTATATTACTGGTATGAATACTGTATAAAAAATGTATGAATTATATCATACAATTATACATTAATAAATGTGTATCACCATCTTGCATACATTATTCATACCAGTAATATACATACAAATTGTTTCTGTTTGTATTTTTATTATGACTACTGATGGTTTTATATAAATTATTACTGATTATTACTAAATGTGTCTCACTTTAACATATATGATGAAACTGTATGAATCATTTATGAAAATCGTATGAATTATGAATGTCATATTAAAATTTGATATATAGTACATAGTAATGTTAAATTATTCCATAAATTTGTTTTGCATGAATACTATACACTTTCAAATACAAACAGAAACAAATATTAATAATATTACAGGTATGAATACTGTATGAAAAAATGTATGAATTATGACAAATTATAAAATATATTTTTCAAAATACAAACAGAAACAAATTGTATCTATATTACTGGTATGAATAATGTATGCAAGCTGTATGAATTATAACATATTATAATTTAATATGTTAATATATGAAAAGTTGTGTATACAATGTATGACATTTGTATGAATAGTAATATTATTCAATAAAAAAATATTTTATAACAATGTAATGCCTCAAAAACACAGATTTAACATTACGACATCATTGTTTTTGTACAGGATAATTTGAACAAGTCTTCCTATTGTGTCCAACCTGATGGCATCTACTGCATGTGCTTTTTGTCTTCTTGAATTTCACATCTGCGAATCCCTTCCACCGTTCAAGTTTGGGTCTTCCTGCTGCTCTTTTTGGACCAGGCGACATCAATTTAGGATCTGAAATATAACTTGGTATATCCCATGTACTCTCGCACGGGATAGGTTCGACAGAAATGGCATAAGCATCTTTGAAATTCTTGAGGCTATAAAAGCAGAACAGAAATCTACTTCATGTAACTTCCTGTACCGGAGAACAGCAATTGCATGACCACACGGTATCTCATGATATTGAAATCTTCCGCAACTACACATCCTTGTGTTCAAATTTACTATATATTTCTTTGCTCCTTCAGCTACAGCATGCAAATCAACAGTTGAAGGTATCACCTGTGTAAATTTTTTTTTATACATGCTGAAGATTAGTATGAATTAAAAATACAATACAGTGAAACACATACCCTCATATTGCACGACAATGTAATACTTTTCTGTGATAAACATCATATTTTTTTGTCAGATTAGATGTAGTCTTATCAGCCTCCTCATTATGCTTGTGAATCCACCTCTGAATTGTCACCCTCATAAACTCAAGAAGTGAAATCACCGGTAACCTCTGTGCTAATCTGTTAACATTATTCAATGCCTCCGCGATGTTTGAAGTCATGGTCCATGTGCGCTTACAATTCGAGTAAGCTCTTGACCATTTGCTATAACCAATATCAAACAAGTATGGTCGTATTCGCATATCTATCTGATCTATTCTTCCCATAATTGTCTCAAACTGTTGTTTTGTATAACCTTTTGCCAATGAAAAGAACAACATCTTCAAATCTTCAGTATTTCTATTGAAATTCTTCAAAACATTGATTGATAAATGCCATATGCATGCATAATGTTCTGATTCAAGATATACATTTGTCGTCCCTTTCCATATGCTTTCATTTCTGTCTGACATAAAACACATATTTTGTCTAACTCCATATGCTTCTCTAAATTGCTCAAAGAACCATGTCCATGAAGCATCATTTTCAGAATCTACTATCGCATACGCCAACGGAAGTATATGACCTGCTCATTAATTTTTTTAAAAAATATCACACAAATCAAAAATATCATTCATATATTTTTTTCATTATATTATATAATTAGAAAATTATATAGGCTAATATTTTACCTCCAGGATCCAATGTGCTTGCAGTTAACATTGTACCACCATATGAACATTTTAATGCAGCACCATCAACAGCTACAATTGGCCTACAATATTCCCATCCCCTAATACATGCTTCTAAAGCAACAAATGCATATAAAAATGTATCATCTTCATTCCTTTTTATTTTCAAAACAGATCCTGGATATGTTTGCTCCAAAACGTAAAAATAACCTGAAAATAACAGTCCAATCATACATAAAAAATACATATTTTATACATAAAAAATACACATAACTGTTACTATATAAATTTATCATTATTTTAGAAATTACCTGAAAATAACAGTCCAATTCATACATAAAAAATACATATTTTTTATACATAAAGTATACACAAAACTGTTACTGCACAACAAAATAACTAATGTTTAAATTTATCATTATATTCGAAATTACCATGTAATCTTGCATAAGATTCTGCTGGATCTCCTCGCACCAACTTTACTGATTTTTCTTTAGCTCTCCATGCCTGTATGTATGTCAACGAAACACCATGCAATTTCAACATATCATCAGCTACATCTTTTGGAGTATATACCTTAGATGAATCAATATAATTATCCATTATCAAGACAGCTACAACGTCAGTTATCCCTTGACGTCTGGCATAACCTCTTTCTCTAACACAACATGTGTGCTGAGCAATATACTTCCGAACTTTGAATAAACTAGATTTATTCAAACTAGATGCCCTCATCATCCAAGAACAACTCTTAGAAATACAATTTAGGTGATAACTGTTACAAAATTTAATAAAATATACATTACAATATATATACATTGTAACAAAACAAAAAAAAAATAAAAAATAAATTTAAACTTACTTAGATGCATTACAACACGCAACCCGAAAGCTGAACTTCTCAACAAGTCCAACATGCCTCATAACCTCCTTAAGGGTTTCTTTATTATTATAAATCTGATTTTCAGCTACAAATAAATTAGAATGATCACATATTATATCATTATCTACTTCACTATTATCATTGACAACTCCGTCTAAATCCATTCCGATCAAAAGGATAGAATTGTTGGAGTATAGATCTATGTTATTATGTGATAATCTAACATCAGAATTTATTCCATCATTAACTATAACTCTATGACATTCGTTATACTGCCCACAATCTTTCAAAGTGATGCATAATATATATTTTATAAAAAAATCCAAATTCACCCTCATCTGATCTAGATAAACCTTTACCCCAACATCATTATGAATTTTTATAGGCGGACACATTTCGCTAACTATATACTTTATCTCAACAGAATTTAGATTTTCTTCTATGTTTAGCTGAGTTACTATAGCATTAATTAAACCAGTATAAAGAGAAGAAGTATCGTATAGGATGCCCTCCATTTCAAAGTCGATGTATTTCCCTGTTTCACAACATTAAAATTACATTCAGTGCATCCCATAATAAAATTAAAAATTTATTCATACATAATTAATACACATTTCATACACAATTTATATACAAGTCATTGTTTAACACACACTTCATACACTTCATACAAAAACAATACACACTTCATACACAATTTAATACACAATTACTACACTGTTTATACACTATTGTAATTTAATACACAATTAATACATTGTTTATTACACACTTAATACCATTTTATACAAATTTAATACACAAATCATACAATGTTTAACACACACTTCATACACTTCGTACAAAAATAATACACACTTCATACATAATTTAATACACAATTACTACACTGCTTTTTGTACACTATTGTAATTTAATACACAATTAATACATTATTTTTTACAAAATTAATACACAAATCATACACAATTTATATACAAGTCACTTATATATGCAATAACAAAATTTTAAATTAATACAAAATTAAAACAATTTTTATACATACTGCATACTACACAACTAACTACTACATACAATCTAAAATACAATTTCATACTCAATTTATCCAATTTGATAAAAAAAATAATATACAGTTAATTCAATTTTTATACGGAATTCATATATATATTACAAATCAATAATAGCTACGTACAACTATAAACATTGATTTTCGTATATATTGTTCATACACTATTTATATACATTAAAATACAAAATGTATACATTATTAATACAAAATGTCAAATATTGTTCTACTGTTTTAAAAACAAAAAATTTGCTAAATTGATCAAAAACTGTAAAATTTTAAATTTTAACCAGTAATCACATTTACCATCATTCTTTGTTTTAATTACACATGAAAATACATTTAATATTACGAAATATTTATTAGTAGAAACATTGAATTAATGTTTCACAAAAAAAATATATCAATTTAACATATGCAATATAACATGGGAAAAAAAACGACACATTACTAAAATATTAAAAAAAACTAACCTGATGAATTCCATTTGCCACCATGTTTAATTAAAATTGACACAATTTTCTCCATCAAATCAAATCTAAACTTTTTCAACCTTCAATTTTAATTGTTTTTCCAAAAAAAAAAAACCCGATAAAATATGACAGAATTCGAATATATGAATATAGTTCAATTTCTGGAAAAAAATGAAACACGTTTATGGAAAGAAAAATAACAGAATACAATTTTTAAGGATACAAAATCAAAAATAATTACCATTAAAAACGTATTGAGATAATTAAGGTGTATATCTATAATTAATATATTTTAAAATCCCTTAAAAGGTGCACATTTTTGTTATCAGTTAAAAACAATAACTACATTCACGGAAATTATCCAATTTTAATTAATCATTTTTAATTTTATTTTCTTCCTAATTTTACTGAATAAATATTTACAATATTTTAATTTAAAGAAATGCTATAAGCTGATATATTATATGTTATAGAATGAAAATTAAAATTTGTGCCATAACTTGAGAATATGACTACATAATATGCTAAATACCTAATTTACACAAGGGAAAATTACGTTGAAAGACCATCCTTAAGACTAATCTACATAAATAATAGTACTTTTTTTTTACTTCTATAGCAGTTTTAAATAAACTGAAAAGATAAATTTTATTATTAATATATAGATATTTTAATTCAAAAACAGTTCTAAATTGTCGTGAAAATAATCTTAAATCGCACTCTCTTTATAATATATTTACAGAATTCTAAAGGGACATTTTAAAATACATTTAAGTCAGTACAAATCTATATAATCTTATCTCAGAATTCTTCAATTGTTGGTCGAGTTTAATTCTTTATCTAAGATACGGCCACTGGGTTGTTCATCAGTCCATATCTTCATATTTAATTTCAATTTTTTTTACATCGTTCAGGTATGAGTATTATATGATATTGTTCATTTATTTCAATTTTTTTTACACTTTTCTGGTAAACTTCATCTTAATAGATTATATTGTTTCTTTTGATACACAACAGTTTGAAAAATGGTGAAGAAAGATTCATTATCTGAAATGAAACCAAGTGATCAATTTGGGAGAGCCAAACTTTCATTTGTTGTCTCCAACACCTATGTCTGATTCAAATTGTTGTAACATTCAAAGTGTTTTTGTCATTATCGATAATTGATCATAGTGGTGTTGATCGGTCAGACGGAGTACATGAGAAAGGAGAAAGTTAGAAGAAATAAAAAGGGGGAAATCTATTGCACTTGAGCCTAAAGATCAAGGTGCGTGTGTTAACGTCAAAAGAAGAAAATTTATTGAAGTTGCACCACATAAATCTAAATTGAAGGTATTGTATTCATGAGACATTTTATTTTCAACCTAACTACTTTAAATAGTATTGTTAACATGAGAACTTGGCAAAATTGTAGTAGTTTAAACTTTGAGAATTTTTTAGAAATACCATCAACAAGTGAATGTTACTGTTATATTCTAGGTGTTTTGATGATCCTCACAAATGCGGGGACCTGGTTCCTTGAAGAGTGCTCTCGTCCAGATACAAATGGGGTACAGTCATAAAAGCTGTCATGTCAGGTGGTAGGTGAAAAGTGCAGTATCCTACACTAATAAGAAGAGCGGAAGAGATTGTATGTGTCAGTATCTCACAATTCCCTGGTACCAGGAAGAGTTTCCTCCATCAGATACATAATCGGTTACAGCTGTAAAGCTGTCATGTCAGAGGTTGGTAAGGCGTCAGTGTACTACACCAATCAGAATGGAGAAGGGTGTTTGTCCAACGGATAATAACTCTTTATGTTTGATAGTTTTAGCATGGCAAACACCATATTATATTCATTCATCCAAAGAAGGAAGTCAACCAGTAAGCATTTTCAAGTACTCATGTATAAGTTTGCAAGGGACCTGGTTCCCCCAAGCAAGGGACCTGGTACCCGCAAGACTGCGACGTGAAAAGAACGAAAAGACAGTTGTTAGAAAAGGTGTCATCTCTGATGCGGTAGATGCACAACTTTTCCAACAGCAGGCCTTCAACCAATGGGATGACTTCAACGAATTTGTGAGAATTTATATTATCTCTTTCCAACAAACACAAATTCATGACTTGGCAAATTAAACTTGGATTTTCTCTGAAAATTCACAAGCTTGAACAGAAGGCCATCTTCAAGGAAGAACATTGCTCAACTCAACAGAAGGACCTGATAGAGTAAAGAAGAATCTTTGTTGTATTTAGAGCTTTGTGTCTATGTACTTACACTGTAAATCTGTTCCTAATCTATAAAGGATTCAGATATTTGTTTTGGGTTTGTAAAAGTCTAAATCAGTTAAGGTTAACTGATTTAGCGGGCAACATTTGTTTGTTGCTTAGTCAAATTCTAAGTCATCTAGAGTTAGGTGGTTTAGTGGGCGGTGTTATATCCGCTTAGGCTCTTTAAATAATAGGTAGATTACTTGATCGTGAGATTAATAACTTTTTCTCACATTAATTGTAACCGGGTTTCACTTTTGCTTGAGAATATTAGTGAAGACGGTTGTAAATCCTGTGCAACAGGTCGTGGTTTTACTCCCTTGAGCAAGGAGGTTTCCACGTAAACTGCTTGTGTTGTGTTCTTCATATTGTTTAATCTTACGCACTGTTCTTGTTGTGACAAGGGACCTAGTCCGTTGACTGGTAGTGGACGCACATATTCTAACAAGTGGTATAAGAGCGGGTGCTCTCTAGTTGGTTAACACCAAGAGAGATTCCTGTGGAAAGATGGTTGCTCCACTCAACAGAAATCAAGAAGCATCAAAGAAGGACTTGAAGAAAGAGAAGTCTCTAGCTATCAAGATGATATTTGATGAAATTTTTTATGAAGATAAGGACATGACATGCCTCACGAGAAGGTATCAAAAATTGAAAACGAAACATAGAGGCTTACAAAAGGCAGAAAACTCAAACATAGTTGTAAATGCAAACCACCTGTGCCACAAATGCGGAAAGCCAGGGCATTTCATCAGAGATTGCCCTATGCATAAGGTTGAAGTCAAAACTTATCAAAGACTCGGAGGAGAGAAAGATAGAAATAGGGACCCGGTCTCCGATAAGAAAGTAAGAAAAGTTGCAGTTGGCTACATCATGAAGAAAGCTTTTGATGTATGTGGAGACTCATCAAGTGAGTCAGATGAATTAGAATGTCATGTAGATGTACCCATGCTTGCAGTCAAAGGTGATAAAGATGTGTTTGATGCCACATTTGCCTTGATGGCAAAATCTGATGATGAGGAAGATGAAGAAGAGGTAACCCTTTCCGATCTTAAACAAAACTTCATGT